GAGGTGAGCGAGTACACACGGAATCCTGGAGAGGTAGGAGGTCAGTGAGTACACACGGAATCCTGGAGAGGTAGGAGGTCAGTGAGTACACACGGAATCCTGGAGAGGTAGGAGGTGAGCGAGTACACACGGAATCCTGGAGAGGTAGGAGGTCAGTGAGTACACACGGAATCCTGGAGAGGTAGGAGGTCAGTGAGTGCACACGGAATCCTGGAAAGGTAGGAAGTCAGTGAGTGCACACGGAATCCTGGAGAGGTAAGAGGTCAGTGAGTGCACACGGAATCCTGGAGAGGTAGGAGGTCAGTGAGTGCACACGGAATCCTGGAGAGGTAGGAGGTGAGCGAGTGCACACGGAATCCTGGAGAGGTAGGAGGTGAGCGAGTGCACACGGAATCCTGGAGAGCTAGGAGGTCAGTGAGTGCACACGGAATCCTGGAGAGGTAGGAGGTGAGCGAGTGCACACGGAATCCTGGAGAGGTAGGAGGTGAGCGAGTGCACACGGAATCCTGGAGAGGTAGGAGGTGAGCGAGTGCACACGGAATCCTGGAGAGGTAGGAGGTGAGCGAGTGCACACGGAATCCTGGAGAGCTAGGAGGTCAGTGAGTGCACACGGAATCCTGGAGAGGTAGGAGGTGAGCGAGTGCACACGGAATCCTGGAGAGGTAGGAGGTGAGCGAGTGCACACGGAATCCTGGAGAGGTAGGAGGTGAGCGAGTACACACGGAATCCTGGAAAGGTAGGAGGTCAGCGAGTACACACGGAATCCTGGAAAGGTAGGAGGTCAGTGAGTACACACGGAATCCTGGAAAGGTAGGAGGTCAGTGAGAATCCTGCCACAGTTTTTTCCAGGGATGGTCCTTCCTGCAAAGGATACCTCTTTTTCCTCTTCTTCACTTCCTCCAATCCCTTCCTTTCTTCCCTAAAAATAAACTGGAGAGTGATCTTATAAAGGTTCACTGCTAAACTTTAAAATTTCTTCTACTTAATCTCCCAGATTATCACTATCATCACCCCCATATCTATCATGATCCTTTTTCCTGAAATTTGTCACAGTTACCAGTAGGAGGGTGAGTGTAATTAGTAATGGCAGTGGTTGTATTTTCCATATACAAATTCTCCTCCACCCAGCAGCCACAGTCACTAGAACACAAAAATTAAAATGTTGGACATAGCAACATGTGGTGCAATTAGAGCTCTTATTCATTGCTGATGGGAATGTAAAATGGTGCAGCCACTTTGGAAAGCACTAAGGCAGTATCTTATAAAATTAAACCTAAATCTGTCATGTGACTTAGTAATTGTGCTCTTAGGAAAGTGTCCAGGAGAAATAAATGTATATGTTCATGCAAAGGCCTACATTTAAAAATGTATAGAAGTTTTATGCCAAATAGTGTAAAGTTAGAAAAACTCCAAATGCTCATCAACCCATGACTGGATAAGCAAATTGTGGTATATCCATACAATGGAATGCAACTTGGCAAAGAAAAGGAACAAACTGCTGACCAAATGCAACATGAAAACCCTCAATAGCATCATGCTAGTGAGAGAATCCAGGTGTAAAACACTTTCTACTCTGACTCCAATTATTCAAAATTCTAGAAAAGGCAAAACTAGAAAACTAGAGTTATACAGAGCAGCTTAGTGAATTCCATGGGCCAGACTTTAGGGGAGGAGATTGACTGCAAAAGGATAGAGGAACATTTGGGGTGGTGAAAACATTCTATGTTGATTGTGGTGGTGGTTATATGACTGAGGCATTTGTCAAGATTCATTGAACTTTTAACCTCTATGGGAAAACAGTATGGTGATTTCTCAAAGAAATAAAAATAGAACTACTAGTCCACCTAGCAATGCCACTTCTGGGTATCTACCAAAAGGAAAAGAAATCATTTTCTCACAAAGACATATGCATTTATGTGTTTATTATAGCACTATTCATAACAGCAAAGTCGTAGTATCAACCTAAGTGTCCATCAACAGTGGATTGGATTTAAAAAATGTAATACACACACACACACACACACACACACACCATGGAATACTGCGTAGCCATAAGAAGGAATAAAACATGCCCTTTGCAGCAACATGAATGCAGCTGGAGACTATTACCTGAAATCAGTTAGTATAGGAACCAAAAATCAAATACCACATGTTCTCACTTACAAGTGAAAAGTAAACACAGGGTACATTTGGACATAAAAATGGAAACAATAGACACTGTGGACTCCAACAGGGGAGAGAGAGAGATGGGGGCAAGGGTTGAAAAATGACCTATTGGATACTATGTTTACTGTTTGGGTGACGGGTTCAGTAGAAGCCCAGACTCCAGCCTTATGAAACACACCCACGTAAGGCAGCTGCATGTGGACCCCGTGAATCTGTGAGTTTTATAAAAAGAGAATAAACATGCAAGCAAAAATAGACTATAAAAGCTGATTACAAAAAAGAGTCATAACAAAACCACATAGATCATATCAAAATTAAGAGTAATCGAAATAAAGAAAAATTCATTGAACTTTGAGTGCATTTATTGCATAAAAATTATACATAATAATTGTTTTTAAAAACTCTAAACCACCACATAGAATCAAAAATTGAAGTGTTTCAGGTTCTGTTTCTTATCTTTACAATCATGGTGCAATCATTGTTCATTTCAAATCTATCATTTAAATGCAGGAATATATAGTACTACAGGGATTGGACACATGAGCTGATACTGTGTGTACTGAGAGCCAGTGGTATAGCAGGAAGTTCTCTGAATTACTCTCCATGTGGAGTAAATGGTTATGAAGAAAACAGTAAAAATGTGCTACTTTGAAGCTTACATGTATGTATTATTTAAAACTCCACAGTAACCTCAGCAATTATTTAGAATCTAGTCCAATAAATGATTTTGGGGGATGAATATTTTATCACTGATATTATTTAGAATTGCTGGCTCATGGTGATAAGAAAAAGTAGACCAAGTTGTAGTTAACTTTATTATTGTTTTGAAATTCTTTCCAGTGTACCCTATTGCCTGCCTCTTGTGGGGTAGACTTCTTGTCTCATCAGCTCATCACCTGTCCTTGATAAACTACTGCCACTCCTCATCAACAATTGCGGGTTCCTAGGACCCTAGAATAACATCACAAAGCCAGAGGCCAATCTAACTTGCAGAAAATTCGAAAACCTCATTATTATTTGAAGAGTATTACTGCTTGCCTACCACATTGGGGGCCATTCTAGGTGCTAGGAATGTCAGGTGCAGCAGTCACTGATATCCAGGATTTTAAGTTCTGGTACTGTATATTGACATTGTTAGTGAAAGCAATAGAACCTCCAGCAGTTAGAAGTAGTAGACTTTTCTAAAAGTTACAGGTTGTCCTCTCTTCTCCTTTGATCATCTTTCTCAATGTCCTCCCAGATGTGCACCTTTCTCCCACACCATAATCACATTTCTTTACATTTCAAGTTCAGTGCTCAAGTGCAGGGGCACATGATCTTTTTAGAAGCAAGAACCAACAAATAGAATCTTCTGCACGAACTTAGATCTATTTGTCCTTCTTATAGACCTGTGACATTCACCTGTCAATCTGCTCTTAAAAGCCTCTATCGGATGCAAGGTGTTTCTGAGATTTTCGATGCAGGGATGCAGCTCAGAATTGTAATTGGCCTCCTTGATATTCTGCATCGCTAGGTAAGGCTTACACAGCAATTATTTATGCCCATCAAAAAAAAGTCTAGGATAAAAGTTCCATTGTGAAGACAATGGGAAAGTTAGTACAGGCCAACTTACATCTCCCACAAACCTCTCTGCTTTAGGAGGGCTACCACGTAGCTCATCCCAGTCCCACTGTGTAACAGTGGGAAATGATTTAAGCCTGTGTAACAATTTCTAACTTAACTGTAAAGGTATTTAGAACATGTGTCAGGGCCGGAAATTGCAGAGGTCAAGAAGCTTCTTTACGATTAAGTGAATGACCCCAGAAGGTCAGTATTAGCTTCCCCAAGACTTCTTATCAGACTAGTGGGCCACCCATGCTTCCCATTCCTCCCAAAGAAAAGTCACACAGGAGCTCAACTTAGATCTATTTGTCCTTCTTATGGACCTGTGACATTCACCTGTCAATCTGCTCTTAAAAGCCTCTATCGGACACAAGGTGCTTCTGAGTAGTGTTGGACCTCAACACTAGTTTTCAGAATCTCATGACAATTTTTAAATCTTATATGTTCGTGACTGCAAAGAGAAGATAATCACAAACATCAATGATTTTTTTCTGGTAATAATGCAGCATATTCCTTTCAGATCAATGTTAGCACATTGCTTGTCAATCAAGTTTATATTCCACCTCCACCAATTCCTTTCTAGGCATTAGCTGATTCGAATGGGGTGAAGTATTTTAAAATGATGAGGAAGAAGCATTTTTTGTTTTGACTTTACATGAGCACTGGTAACTGGCTTTTATTTTCTGAGATGGAGTTTTGCTCTTGTTGCCCAGGCTGGAGTGCAATAGTGCAATCTCAGTTCACAGCAACCTCTGCCTCCTGGGTTCAAGCAATTCTCCTGCCTCAGCCTCCTAAGTAGCTGGGATATCAGGCATGCACTACCATGCCAGGCTAACTTTATATTTTTAGTGGAGATGGGGTTTCTCCAGGCTGGTCTCGAACTCCTGACCTCAGGTGATCCGCCTGTCTTGACCTGCCAGAGTGCTGGGATGACAGGCGTGAGCCACCGCACCCAGCCTGGTGACTGATTTTACACACACACACACACACACACACACACGTGGCAATGAGAGTAAACATTAACTATAACTAATGTAATACTGTGCTATTTATATGATGATCTAACTCACTGCTATCTCACTTTTTGCTTAGTATGATTTTGTGTGCTTTGTTTAAAACCTTTGAGGCCACAGAAAGGTTGGGCTTGAAATCAAGTCTTTGGGGCTGTTTCACATTCTTTTAAGAGTCTTTCTTCAGCTGCCAGGAAAGATGTATGCATGAATTCTCTTACCCATGTCAAGGCCAGTTACAGCTGCATAAAATCGATTCAGCTTTGGTAGATGATAAGTGCAAGTTTCCAGATGACAGAGAGTGATCAAGCCAGGTGAGAGCTAGAAGAGCTTTGGGGCCAAATTAAATGCCATTGTGTGATGGGGAAGAGGAGAGGAAGGAAATGCACAGGCCGGTTGTTGCTGAGATGATATGGTTTTGAAAGCCCTCTAGATAAGTGTTAACCCCGTGTTATTTTGTATATTTTCAGTACGTACACAGGGTAGTTTGCAAGGAGTGGTCACCCAGTGACAGAGGACCTGGTCTCTTCTGGTTACTTGTCCCTTTTCACTGTTTTGGGGACTTCCCTGGGAGGTTCTAATTCAATGGAAACTTTTACTTTGAAAGCTTTAAAAGTCTTTGTACTCTACGGACGTTATGTGGAAACGCTTGCGTACTCTCAGCTCCATTGCTCTTAAAACTCTTAACTTGATATTGCTGGCGAAATTTATGTGAATCAGAGATTATTTTTAGGTCTGAGTTTATATTAGAAATTATTCACTGTCATTCAACAAATATGTACTAAGCACCCACTAGATACAGGGAAACAGGAACATGGGCAAACTTCCTGTTTCTGAAAATGCTGCCAAATCTCAGTTCCTGAGTGTTCGGCACCTTTTACTTTGGGCCTTAGGTAAAACCACAGATACAGGTAGTACTGACGGACGTTTTCTTATCATGGTGGAAGATTTCCGGGGAATGGTTCTTTGAGGAACTACCTTGGCTGAAGCTCTCTTGGTTGAATCTGTAAGTACAAGAGCGTAAGACAAAGCTTCCTGTTGAGTAATATAGCCTAGGGGAAAGAAATGAGAAAAACTTCAAAATCAATTTTACACAACAAATAAGGAAAGAAAACTGCAAATATTTACTTATGTGTACAAAATTTCTTCTACTCTTGTGGTGAGCATGCCCAGATTATACAATCTTTGAAGAATGGAAGTGTATTTTTCTTCTTTTGCATTTCTCATACAATAATAAACACGTATTAATTAACATGTCAAATTATTTGGAAAGAGACTGGAGCCATGATATCTTCGATATCAAAACTTTCTTCAAACCAGAAACATACATTTGATCTTTCTCAGTGTTTCTGAAAGTGTAGTCTGCAGACCACCAACTAGTGAATCACTGGGCAGGCTGAGGGCACATGCTTTTTAAAGATGCTCATTAAAAATGTAGATTTGTGACTCTATTCTAAGACCTTCTGAATCAGAAAGTCAGAGGGTTCAGCTTGGAAATCTGCATGTTAAAATAAGATACCCGGTGGATTTTATGTGCACTAAGCATTGACTACTTCTGCTTCTGGATTCATTGGCTTCTATGTAATTTTGCTCTAAAAATAAAGCTACTAGATGAAGCTTCTAGTGACACTTCAGACAATCGTGGGGACCAGACTGAATCCAGGCTTCTCTGTTTACTATTAAATAGTTGCATGACCCTGATCAAGCTGTTTAACATGTGCATGTTTTAGTTTTCTCTTCTGTCAAGTGTAGGTTATAAAGACATAAAGCTACTACATAGAGGTAGTTGAGTGTTAAATGTCATACTGCAAAGTTCTTAGAAGAGCACCTGACACACAGCCCTCATTAAAGGGTAACTAGTATTGTTGTCATTTTTTTTACATAAGTTGCAAACACCATGCCTTCCTTTTGTGTAAATACAAAAATGACAGCATAAAGTAGATGTGCTAAAGACAAGTGAGTAGATTTTTGTTTAAAAAGCACTCTAGTGGAGTTAGGAGAACAGTATGATGGAGGGCTGCCAGCAACGGAAAACATTTCCTACAAGAAAAGGGAGGACTTTACATATGCTTTCTGGTAAGTTGGTGCTTACAATTTGTGAAGGTCTTTCACAACCATTATTTCATTTGTGCTTCATAAATTCTGAAGAGGTTGAAAGAAGAGGAGAGACAGCAGAGGATGGGGCTGAAAATGGATAATCTTTGAAGGTGGCAGCTCTGCCTCGAAGTCCTAACTGACGTTTATTACCTGTGTGTGATCTTGATCAAGTTACATAACCTGCCTGAGCTTTCATTTTCTACGACCATCAGGTGGAGAGAAAATGAGCTATTGTACGTAAAGCTCTTAGCACAGCGTCTGGACTGTGGTCAGTGAGCAATAAATCTAACTATTGCTGTTGTGAGGAAACCAAGGCTGTGAGTTTGCACAAAGCAAGGAGCTGAGCTATGCTTTGAGCCTTGCCTGGTTTTCTAAGCCCAGACCCATTGATTTATTTGATTAAGTTCCCACAAATCTTAGAGAGTTAACATTTGATCACGATCCGTACTCGAATTTCTTTAAACCCTATTCATTTACCCATAAAATCTTGCTTTCCATTGTCAAGAATAAGCGTTTTGAAACTTGGCGAACAAGCTATGTTGGTAAAATAGCACCCGGCAGATGCCGTTGTACTTGAATTATTTATTTGAAAACAACTTCTGGCTGCAGCATGAGTTGATTCCTTAGGTGCTTGGTTTGGATCACGTGGTTAAGCTTACCAAGCAGCTGTTGGTGCTGAAAACTGTGAATGTACCGGGTCTGCAGGGCCTCCCACTGCGACCTGGAGTTGTAAATCCTCATAACGCTATAAAGACACCGCTGTTGCCCTCGGCTGAGGTTCTGTTGGAACAGAAGAGGTGATTTTGATGAGTCTGTGGAGTTCCACAGCATTCAAGTTGTGATGTATTCAAATCTAACTTTTGTGGAAATGCCAGGCTTCTCTTGCTAAACATATATATAATTTTTAATGCACAGCAATTGGAAAATAAAAACTGGGGAATTTCCTGTATTTGCTTAAACAGCCTTCTGCTAATCTGTGTGATGATGAAAATATGTGAGTAAAAGATTTTAGGCAATTGACTTGAACTGAGGGACATCTAAGGATTTCCAGGATCTTGTGATTTCGTTGATCCTATGGAGGAAGGTAGCTTGTGATGAGCTGCACAGAGCTGAACTTTGCTAGGCCTCCGGACTGGTAGAAAATTTCCACTGGAAGTTCTCAGTAAGCAAGCGAGATGGAGGGAAGAGTAATGTGGTAAGGGTTCATTATATCATTAGTGAAAATGGGCTATGAAAACAAAGAATTAAACAAGCTCCCGATAGCAGTCAAGGAAGGTTTCCTAAATGAGATGACCATGTTATCTGAGTCTTCGGTGAGGAGTTTCTTTAAGGGACTAGAATACTGGTTCTTAGAGGGCATGGACAGCCCTTGGAAATCTGTTAGAAATTCTAACCTTTTTTTTTGTTGTTGTTCAAAGGGAACATAAAGTCTGATAAGGAAAAGACTACAGACTTAGGGGAAGACGACGGAAACCTTTGAGCTATGTTAAGAGCTTAAGGATGAACTATTCTAGGAGGAGCCATCAAAGGTCTTTATTTAAGACAGTGGCTCTCAACAGGGATGATTTTGACCCCCGTGGGACATTGGCAATGTCTGCAAATTTTTTTGATTGTCCTAATTGATGGGAGGGGGAAGGCATGCTCCTGGCATTCAATGAGTATATGCCTGGGATGTGTTCAGCTTCCCACGCCCTTCCAACACAGCAGTCCAAGCCAAAACACCGTACTCTCAACTGACAAGATTTGCATCTTAAAAAATAGCACTGCAGTGGAGAATGGGCTCCAGAGAGACCATTTAGAAGGTTACTTTCATGAAGGTAGGGAGAAACAAGAAGGGTCAGGACTTCAATTACTATTATATACCTAATATATCTTAAGTGTTCATTATATACTGTGCTCAGCATTTTGCATTTGCATTTGCATGTATTTTGCATACATAATCTCAAATTTCAGCAAGCCTATGAGACGAGCAATTTCTTTTGCTCATTTTACAGATAGGGAAACAGAGAGTGGCATCAACAGTCTAGAAAAATCAAGACAAAATAAGTTCACCCTAGGCCAAATAATTCAAGACAATAGCAGAATTTTCAAAATGAGTTGATAACTATGCAATAAAAACTAAACTTAAGATACCTGTAAAGGTAGGATAAGGTGATTTTTACCTGTTAGACATTTTGTGTGGGCCTGAAATCTGTGAGTTAATGTTTTGTTTTGTTTTTATATTTTTGGTCTAAAAATCTTAATATCAAAAATATATCTAGAGTGAAAGTAGAAAAGCCAAGTACCTCATAATTTGAGGCACTATTTCAGCTTTAGTTTCTGAAGTAGATATTTTAAAGGACAGCATATTTGAAGAGAATGAATTCCACTCCTGAATAACTAATTATGCCTTTTAAAATGATTGAGAACAAGATAATATGAAAATTGTAAGCCAGTTTCAAGAGCATAACTACAAAGTGCAATAGGAGTTTCCATGGAAGATAAAAATCTTAAAAGTGATAATTTTATTTTACAAAGCAAAAAATGCCTACCTCTTTTCCTAAGTAAAACTCTAAACTTCCTAAATGAGAAGTAACAGGCAATATTATTAATATTCTTTTCCTGTTGTTTATCCTTTTTTGAGGGTTTGGGAGAAAACTGAAATTTTTAGATTATGAGAATGGCTTTAACTAACTTCGACCGAAAGGAGTTAACAGCTCTCCAACATGGAGCCACAGTGTGGCCAGTTAGTGAGTTTCCCATCACTGGCAGCGGATCAGCCACGAAGAGGTGACTGTCTACCAGAGCTCCTAAAATGGGATGGGTGTAGGCAGTTACCAGGTGCTCATTCATTCACTCATACATAGCCTTCAACGTGCAGCAAGGGCTTATTTTGGGGCAAACATTCTTCCTAATGCTAAGTAAACAAAGGCAGCAGAAAAAGTCCTCAAACCTTGAAGGAGAGACAGGTCACTCTATCTGTCGAAAAAAAAAAACAAAAAACCCCATACCTTTAGTAAGGAAGTGTCAGAGATGGAGGGAGGAACTTGAATGCGAGGAAGTTGTGGAACATTCCAAAGCTTCTGTTCTGTTTTCCAGTGTTGTCCCATCGTTTATCCTGTAACTCTAAGAAACAACAAAGCATAGCATAAAATTTCTTTTAGCTCAGCCATTTTTGGGGAAGTACTTAAGTAAATAAGTAAGCAAGTAAGTAAATGAATTTTAACAAATATAATTTGTTTTAAAGGATAAGAACTTTGCTCTCATTTCCAAATAATTGGACATCATCAGACTACTTAATTCCACACCTTTTCCTATTCTTACCCTTTATTATGAAAATAGTTGTTACTTATTTCTGAAGTTAAGGAATAATTCAGAGCCCTTGTCTTTCTGTTTAACTCTGTTTGTAACAGGTGGGTTGTAGAGTGTACTATTTTTATGAAAGTAATTTTCTGATAATTTTAAGTAGTAGTGCTTATTGTATCTGATTCTAAAAGTAATATATATTGTTTTGAAGATTTGTAAAATTTTAAAACTTAAAGAAGAAAATAAGATTACTCATACAAGTTGAGCATTCCAAATCTAAAAGTCCAAAATCTGAAATCCTCCAAATCCAAAACTCTTCCAGTGTCTACATGATGCTCAAAGGAATACTCACTGGAGCAGACTGGATTTCGGATTTCTGAATTTGGGAGGCTCAACTGGCAAAGATAATGCAAATTTTCCAGAATAAAAAAAAAAATCTGGAATTCACAAAACACTTCTGGTCCCAAGCGTTTTGGATAAGGCATATTCAACTTGTATCTAACTATCCATAATTATTGTTAGCATTGTGTTGATTTCCTTTTATTTGTTTATTTATTTTTATATATTTTTTGAGACAGAGTCTCACTCTGTCACCCAGGCTGGAGCACATGGTGTGATCACAGCTCTTTGCACCTTTGAACTACTGGGCTCAAGCTAATTTCCCACCTCAGCCTCCTAAGTAGCTGGGTCTACAGGTGCACACTCCACACACAGTTATTTTTTTAAATATTAGTAGAGACAAGGTCTCCCTGTGTTTCTCAGGTTGGTCTCAGACTCCTGGGCTCAAGTAATCCTCCACCTCAGCCTCCCAGAGTACTGGGATTACAAGTATGAGCCACCACACTGGGCTTCACTTTCCTTTTATTTATTTATTTTTTCTGTGTACATTGTATATGATTTTAGAAAAGGGAGATCACAATTTATATGTGTTGTGTACTTTCTCAGATCATTAAGTATTCTTTAAAAATGGGATTTTTAGTGGCAGTATAATATACCTTTACATCATTTTCCACTTCTTGCATGTTTAGATGTGCAATTTTATAGCATTGTATTATAAAATAAACTATTAAACTTGTCATGTTTCCACTTGCCTGACAAAGATATAGAATGAAGGAGTCACATTTGCTATGATTAAGTCTCCTTTCCTGGTGATTTAGGGTTTAGAGTCTACATAATAATATGAATTTAACAATCCAACGAGAATCAACATACTGGAATAGGTTTCCAAGCCACAGAGTGCAAACCCAGTGCTTACCTTCTCCTTTGCTTACTCCTTTGTCTTGGTTAGCAGTGTGAATTATTGAATGTTAGAAAGTAAGACCACAGCAAATCAAGCACAGTACCAATCTGCTGAGCTTCTGGGCTGTGTGGCACCTGGGGGCTAAGCACAGTAACATCTGCTAAACAGATTATTATCAATACCTGCACCATATACTGACTGAAGAAAAGAAGCCAATTGAGGCTGTGTGGCCTTTAGAACTAGAAAGACTTGAGTTTCTTTCCTTCTGTAAACCTCAGCCCTCTCATCCTTAAGACAGCAGTTACAATACCTGCCTCACTGGGTGTTTGATTCACTGCACTGGTGAATATAGAATGCTCTCACTTTATGCCAGTTTCTTCTCTCTCGACCAGACCTTCAGGCATGCTCAGGCACACAAACATACACATGCTTAAGGACGGTTGTAATACATATATGTGGAGACTGATTTGTTTTGAGTTCACACATCGAAGATTCCATTCTTCCAGATGAGAAATTTATTAGAAAAAATTAGTCAGCATCTCCGTGTGTACTGTTTCTGCTATATAAACGTATAAATTAAACTATAAATATTTTAGTTAGTGCTGCTTTCCTTCAGTGTGCACTCCAGAAACCATACCAACCAAGATACACTCTCTTAACACACTCTGTGGTTGATGCCTATGCTCTACCCTGTACTCAGATCATCTCAGTATCCCTCCTCCCATTTTCCAGATCTGTAGAACCGAGAATAAATATGCTTCAAGCCTGGAGAGATTTCTTCTCTCCTCAAATAGCACGAGGAAATGACTGATGCTCTTTCTTATGGCAACAATTTATGTATGCTTTTCTGGGGCTACTATTTTACCTATTCAAGTGGTCTATACCTGATAAAATTTGATTAAAATACTAGTGGAATTCAGGGAGAAAAAAATATACAAAACAATATATCTGAAACAAAAAGACAGGCTTGCCTAAAAAGAACTTACCCTATACTGTAGTTTTTCCACTTTTAAAAGCCGGCATTCATGTTCAGTGCAGTCTCCCTACATGGACTCTGTTCATGTGGTGGTGGGGGTGGAGTCTGTTGATAAATTGATATCCAGGCAACATCACGTGATGAAACAGAGCGGGGGACATCCGGCTGCATGCCTTTCTTCACTCTGGATAACATTCAGCTACACAGGTTGATAGTTTTTCTTCCAAATTTTGTGTCTAATCAAGTGTCATCTTCTAAACCTACCATATCTGTGCTAGATGCAGGTATCGGGGAGTAACATGGATAGAGGCAGAAATGATAAATATTAAAGATCAAGAAATCCATCAGGGCAATGGGCCATGACATGAATATTTCCAAAATTTGAAGTCAGTAGTTCCTTTCTCCACTGCTCAGGATGATGAAGGAAGAGTTTCTGAATACAGAGGTATGGGCATGAATTTGACTGTGGTAACCCGTGGAATTTTTCCATAGTTTAAGCTAAATTCCGTTTTCATTTGGTAGGGGAATATTCACCTACCTAATATTCACCATGTTAGAGCTTAATTAGAGGCTGTATGTGATGATAACAAACCTGTGGCATTAGACTCGAGCCCACACTGACCTCATCCCTTCTTCTGTGGTAGCGTTATTCTACTGGCTTCCTGTCTTTCTCAAGTGTTCTTCTTCTGAATGCCTGCTTATCTACAAAGACGAAGAGTTCCTAGAGGAAAGGGAAGAAGAAATATCAAAAGAAAACAAATTCAAAACTCTTAGGAGACTAAGGGGAAGAAAAAAGCAGGGAGATAAGAATGATGAATCATTTGCTTTAGAGAAGAAAGGGCTTGACAGATGCAAAAGTCTTGCATTTTTTCCCCAATAATTTGAATGCAGACCTCATGGGAAATAAGCACAGCACAGACAAGTGTCTGTAAATGCCAGTGAATAGCATACAATCTCTCACTGAATCTGAGAGGTTGATGATTCTTTACCAAGAGATAGAGAACAGTTGTGTGCAGAGTTGACATTGTCAGTCGAGTCTTCTGCAAATGTTTTTCCAGGATACGATGAAATTCATCCTAGGGTGAACTGCATCTGCTGATGCTGCACACACATGCTGAATTCCTGCCGGCTTGCATTGGTCCCTACCCAATTAGGAGAACAGTAACAGATCTGCGTGTTTGACAGAGGGCATTTAATGTAAGGAATCTGTTGTGAAAACATAGAAATGGGTTAGAGGAGTGAAACAAGGAGGGTTAACTTATCCAAGGACCGGCAGTTGCTCTAAACTATGATTGCACGTAGAGCTGGAGGACAAAAGGAAAGTGATTTGACTCACAGCCATGGACACTGTGCCATAGAAGCTGCTTCCTGTGCAGAACTGCTGCCTGAGCAGCACCTCAGGAACCTGCGCTCACCAGAGTGCATTCACCCTTGCTTCTATGTTCTTGTCCAAACTGCTAATCTTACTGCTGTTGTCACCACTGTTGCTGTCCGTGTGGCTGCTGCTGTTGGCATTGCCACAGCTGCAAACAGAAAATATTTTTTTGAAAATGGCTTCTTCCCTGCAGCCTTCATGTCCTGCCCTCCATTGGATGCCAGCTGGCAAGGCATTTTGGGAAACGTATTTTGCAGTCTTCCTACTACTCTGGCAAAGAGAAGGGTATAGAAGAATCAACATGAGGCTGACAGATGGTGGACACTCTCCAATACAAACACAAATCCAAGAGGTACCTCTGGGACCTACGAAGTCAGGCAGGAGGCTGCAGGACTTAGACATACCGTCAGTGTTTACCTAATATCACTGAAAGTTTTCATTTTATAAGAAAGAGAAAATAAGATAAACCTAGTTATGTAGATGGTATCAAAGAATGAGATTAAAATTTGTAGACATTTCAAAATTTAAAAATGAGTAAGTAATGTATATCCTCAGTTTGGGACAAAAAATGTTTTCTCAAAGACTAGTTTAACATTTCAAAATGAATTTAAACTGATGACAAAAAAATGGAATAGAAACACCCATAATCTAATTACTGTAGGGAATATGTCAACTATTAGTAAAAAAGATTTACTATTTCACAGTTAAAGTATTGGTACAGCAATGAGACTCACTGCTTAAGACATTGGCTGATAAAGTGTTTTCGTGGACTACCAGGGTAAATGTGACCTCATGGATGATACCGAGTGAGGAAGAGGGACACATGATTGAAATCCAAGATTAAGATAAACTCTAATTCAAAGAAACCCACCTGCCCGAGGGAGAGTGCTGCAGCACATCATGGGGGTGCGCACTTTCCCGAAAACCATGAACCCGGGAGGAAATGCTCCGCGTTCTTTTTCCAGGATCCTTTTAGCTGCAGAGATGTCTGTGAGGATGGCTCTGCCAGACGCGGACATCCCCGCTTGACTACCCAGCCCTCAGAGGGTCTCTGTGCTCCTTAAGGAAGAGAAGGCACTGTCCCTTTCCCCACTCTGCTGCTGTTTATCCCCTGCACTCTACTTAGTCTTCTAGAGTCTTGGTTGAATTTTATTTCCCATTGAGCTATGTAGTTCCTTGAGGTCAAATTTTTTGGTGGGGGAAGAGGATCAGT